CCAGTAATGCCTCCATGATGAAGCACAGATTATGGCATGGAGTTGTCATGTTTTCAAAACAATATCACCTAGGTGCTGTAAGATATCAAGTAATTGTTGACAGATTTATCCTGAAATTATAATTAAAATCTTCATTTTCTGGAGATTGACATTTATGGCTATTGACATGGCTATTGACATCTATGGCTATGTTTTAATTATAGCAGAATCATTAGTGTACATGTTTGAAATAAACTGTTGTACGGCTTGAATTTTGAAGTTGAGAGTCACCCACCCTGTTTCAATGCCGAACTAGATAACAAATTCAGTGTATACATGTATGAGAAACAATGTGTGTACCCGTAAAATCTGTATGAGAAGCCGCATCTCTAATAGAAGTCGCATGCTTTATTTTTGAATAATTGAGAAGCCAAATTTCTCATATGTGTAGATGCTCTAATAAAAGCCGCATCCCCTCTGTTGCATTGTACCATTTTAGTAGAAGCCACGGTTTCTAATACAGATTTTACAGTATTCTTCACTGGTCCCAAGACAAACTTGTAATTCTATTCATGCCCTGGTGTAATGTAAACAACGTTTTGATCTGTCCAAGCACAAAATACTGACATTGACACCTCTCATTTGATGCATTCCAATCATCTCAGGAATTACATAGTTAAAACTTTGAGCCACACATTTTTCCTGCTCAAACTTTCTGTCACTAAATTCAATTTTGGACCAAAAATGAATATTGTGACATTGTTTCTAATTTTAGCAGCATTTGATGTGGAAATGAGCAAAATTTTGTGGATGGTGCCTGAAGTTGATATTGGCACTCAAAGAGATAAACCTTAGTAGAGCCTCTTTTTTTTTTATACAAACTAATTTTCACACCAATCAAAGTCACCATTTTTGTTAATTTATGGGACTCACATCTTGCACATGGTCATCACTATTACCACCGCCTCTTAAAAATTATCATGTCTCAAATGTGTAGCATTTACACATCCTTTGTCATATTGTAAGACCAATGAAAATGTTTGTTAGTCCCTGATCGGACATAGATATGCATCATGTCATAGATATACAAATGTATTGGTTTGACTTTCTGATTTGAAATGGCTGACCGATGGCCATTTTGTTTTCTGTTTCCAGAGCAATATCTCTCAATATGGAGAAGTACTCGTTTGACGATCAGATACAAGATGACTGAATGTCAGTCATTTTAATGTTAAAAAATCATAATCAAGCATCAGCTTCTGGATCCATATCTCTGACATGTTTGTGTTCCAACTATATTACTATAAACAAAACAATATATCTTAAATTTGATAACTAACAGGGACTGTGTCATGCAAGGCTTGTTTGTTTGTGTAACCTTTTTCATATTGTCTGTTTGAGATATCTCATGTTGTAAATTATCCCGAGCAGTAGGAGGCAGTAATCCATCTTGGCCAGAATCTGATGTCTACAACAAACCAGCAATTGATAGATCCAAGTTGCCAACTGCTCCTCGCAGCTCACGGCCTGTTGACATTGATCGTAGTAAGCTACCAGCTGTTCCGCCGTACACTGCATTTCTGGGAAATTTACCCTACGATGTTGATAAAGAAGATATCTTCACATTCTTCAAAGCTTACAAAGTAAGTATCATTTTGCCTTTTCTAATAATATTTCTGTAGCTGGTGACACTTCTGGACTTTGAATAAGATTCACGCCTGGCTAAATTGTGTTTGCCTTTGTAAGTGTAAACCTTATTAATTTGGACTAACCTGATGACCATCTTGCTTTCATAATGGCACTGTAGGGCAATATAACTCTTGCGTCCCTATAGCATTTAACCAATCAACCAATTCTTCTGATAGAGTTAATGTTGTCATCTATTGTTGTGAGCTATGGGCAAAACAGTTGCTATTTTGTGTACTAAGAATTCATCTAGAGTTATTTGGGAACCAGAATTGTAATTGCATATTACAGAGTGTGACATGGTGGGAGTGTGTACAAATCTTTTGCTGAGCATGCAGTCGCTGGGCTGGCTTGGCTTGTTAGCTTGTGTATATATCTGGTAGCGGCACTTATGTGTGGGCTTGAATACAAACACAACATTCAGCACCATCATTGGCAGTGCTGAACGCCACTTACATAAAACGTAAATTGCAGTTGACCTCACTGTGATGACACATTGGTTGTGGAATACAGAAAAAGGAACCGAAACACGCCCACTGCGTACACAATATGCTAATGACTTTAACGAGGTTATGACATAGATATATCTCCTGACTATTATTTGAAAGTGCAATTGTTAATAGAAAGCATTTATTGTGAAACGCCAGATTCGTGTATATTCGGTCTTGACCCCCACTCTGTCTATTTTGAAGACTGTACACGTTTTCTATCATACCCAACTGGTCACCAAATTTAACAACTTTTTCGGGCCTTTACTTTACTGTAAAATACTTTATTTTAGCTGGAATTAATTTTTGCTGAAAAGACATTTTGGGTGTTTTTTATGGAATTTATTTTCACTGATTTTTGACAAATTGAATGTAAAATATAGGAAAAAAGATATATTCGCTGGATTCTATTTTCATTAAATCATTCCTTCAGCGAAAATAGCGAAATTAAGGTGAAACATGAAAATAAAGTATTTTACAGTAGTCTGAATGAGCGTATGCAAGCCTAAATAGGTTTTGAGCGTAACCAGTGGCTGTTCCCGGTTCCATGCGACCAGCATGTATACATGCGTTGTGATTATTATTGCGATTTTACTTATTCTTAGGTGAGCGAAGTACGTCTTCCACGAGATGGTGGTGGAGAAAGTGGTCGACTGAAGGGATTTGGTTATGCTGAATTTGATGATGTAAATTCACTGATTGATGCCCTTGGAATGAATAATGAAGTAGGTTATAAGTTTTTTTTGCGAATATATTAAAAATGGCTGATTTGTAGCTAGTTATTAGTGATGTCGACCTATGGTGTACATTTATTTGATGGCATTGTTATGTAGGAAATATAAAAGAATTCATCCCATGTTTCAAATAACTGTAGTCTGCTGTAAATGCAAAACACTTGCGGAGAATCCATGTTTGACGCTGATTAAGGAACGGCAGTAGATTAAATTTGAATAAAATACTGAAGTGATTGTGCTTGTTCTGAAAATTGTTTAAATTTGAATTCCAAGGTAGTGTTTGTGTCTACAGTGGTCAAGCAA